CAGTTCCACCGGCCACTGCGAGGGGAAGGCCTACACCTTGCAGGTCATGTTGTCCACCACAGGGTGGGGGTAGGGGTGACTGAGAGCTATACTTTGTCCTCTGAGTTCTGGGGAAAGGCTGTTTGATGGTTGAGGTCTCAGGCTAGAAGTAGATGATGAGTTGAAAAAATGGAAGAGGGAATCAAAGACAATTCCAAGGGAAGAGATATTCTAGTTCCTGGAGACCTCCTAAAGCTGTCATATTCTACAGAAAGAGAGAGAGAGAGAGAGAGAGGGAGAGAGAGAGAGAGAGAGAGAGAAAGCCCTTCTTTTTCTACACCCTCGGTCCCCACCTCTCCATTTCATCCCTGAAAGCTAATCCAAATCTAATCTACTCTTCAAGCCAACTGGAAGGGTTGGTCCAGTGAAGCCCTTCCAGGAATGCCTGAGCCTGAGTCAGAAGAAGAACCATCCTTCCAGTCCCATGTGGCACTTCGTACTTCTCTCAAGTGTTCTCCCACTTTCTGCATTGGAGTATATGGTAAATTGTATATTTATCTTATTTCCCTTGGTTTTTTTTTTTTTTTTTTTTGCAATACCAGGACTTGAACTCAGGACCTACACCTTGAGCCACTCCACCAGCCCTTTTTGTGTTAGATGTTTTCGAGATACAGTCTCAGGAACTATTTGCCCAGGCTGTCTTGGAACCTCGATCCTCCTGATCTCTGCCTCCTGAGTAGCCAGGATTACAGGCGTGAGCCACCAGCACCCTGCTTATTTCCCTTGTTAGCAGTAAACTTCTTAAGAGCGGGGAGCTTATTCTTAGTGATCCCTTAAGACTCATCTTAGATGTGTCTGAGATCCGCCTCATTTACCTCCCACCCCACCCCACAGCATGGCCTCGCTGTCCTCATCTGTGCTTCTACCTATGTCATGCACCCAGCAAGACAGCATAGCAATTCCCATCTGAGTTGCTTTCAGATCTCCCCAACACACACACAAGCAGCGTACATGGAGACTGTGAAGTGTGTAAGAATGTAGACAGATGCTTGTTTCTGTTTGGTTCCCCAGTGCACACATAGTAGGCCCAATGACTAGGGATTGAGTATGGCAGTGGAAAGACGCTTCTCTCTCCCAGGATTTGAGGGTGAGGCAAATGGGACTAAGAGTGGCTCAGCTCAAACCCAGCACATCCACACATCTGAGCACATGACACAGGAATTCCCCAAGATCCGACAATAGCAAACAGCCATTCTGCCACCAACCAGGTCTCCCTATAAGGAATGTGAGGGCTGAGTTCCAGCAGTTAGGATCATTTCCGAATGGCATGCTCTTCCGGCTCTGGGTTTGCTTGTTTGTCTCCTTTGCTGCCTGCTGTGACAGGAGCCCAGAAACATCACTTAAGTCCCAATGGACCACAAGGCTGCACCTGGGCTGGAACTGGGCCGGGGTTGGGGAGGTGGTGGGAGGCAGTTTGGAATCTTTTCTCCTGGATCTTTGGTCCTTCCTGGTTTGCTTCTTAAGTGCGAATTCAGATTGTAGTTAAGGACGCTGAAGTGGGAGTGAGGAAGATCCGAGAGAAGATGTGTCCTGTTTGCAGTCTGCACATCCATTCCTTCAGTCCATGAGGACCACTGAGTTCAGTGGTACATGAGGTGTTCGGGATGCCTAGAAACATTCATAGAGTCTAGATTAGGCCTGAAAAGGAAACTTAGACTCATCTGTGTAATCCTTCATCTTACTTATTGTTGATCTAGCTGGCTAATTGTCACATGTCCTTCAGGTCCTAGATTGAAAAGCCTTGTCTTCAGGAAGCATCCCCTGACTAGCCTCCTCCCCTCTGGAGACTAGGGGGCCCCTTCTGTCATCATTCCAAGGGCTTTATGTCCCTCCTTCATCATGAACACTTCTCCCTCCATGAGGATTTGCTTGTTTATTTTTCACTGGACTGAGTTTGTCCGAAAGCAGAAGCCATGTCTACTTTGTTATTATATCCCCAGGCCAGCACGTTAGTCAGGACTAGAACTCAGGTCTCCCAGGACTCAACCCTGTGCCTGCTCTTACATTACCCATGCTTACTTTTCAAAGTTCTAATCTGTCTGGATGAGCTCCCACGAATGGACACAGATGGAGAGGGGAGAGCAAGCAGGTCCTCTTGGGCTTCATTCTACTTTCACATATTACCCAAAGCAAACTACTGCTACCTACTGTGAACCTCCAGATTATTTGGGGGACAGAGGCTGGGCTCCTGCATAAGGAGACACAAAGGAGGCAAAGGGTTCCATGGAGGGACAGATATCCATAACTTTCCACTGGGAAGGATCCAGGGGTCAGTGGAAGAAGGAAAATGTGCAGACACTAAATACAAAATTAATCAACTGGAGATCATCATCCTGTGCATACTGTGAAAAACAGTTGGAGACGCTATCTTCTAGGAGGGGAGAGGGAGGTAGCCCAGCACAGCTAGAATCCAGTCATGGCTCTGTCTGCTTGCAAGGAGGGGTTTCCCTCAGAGAAGCCTATTGTCCATTCTCCTCCCCACAGATCAGGCTTTGCGTCCCAGTTCTGCTGCTTTCTCACCAGCTGTGTGGCTTTGAGCAGAATAATATTCACTTTACAGAATTATCAAAAGACTACAGGAAATGCTACTTTCTCTCCATACAAGGGAGAAGAAAGCCTAGAGATGTTCTCATTTCACTCAAAATGGGGATTAGGATTCACTCAACCCTACAAGCCCTCTTTGAGAGGTTAAGTTTTTATTTTCTTTTTCTTTTTCTTTTTTTTTTTTTTTTTTTTTTTGGTGGTACTGGGGATTCCACTCAGGGCCTCACACTTGTCCTTGAGTCATGCCCCCAATTCTTTTGCTTTTTTTTTTATTATTATTGTTTTATTATTCATATGTGCATACAATGCTTGGGTCATTTCTTCCCCCTTCCCCCACTCCCTTCCTTACCACCCACTCCACCCCCTCCCTCTCCCTCCCACCCCCTTGATACCTGATACCAGGCAGAAACTATTTTGCCCTTATCTCTAATTTTGTTGAAGAGAGAGTATAAGCAATAATAGGAAGGAACAAGGGTTTTTGCTGGTTGAGATAAGGATAGCTATACAGGGCATTGACTTGCATTGATTTCCTGTGCATGTGTGTTACCTTCTAGGTTAATTCTTTTTGATCTAACCTTTTCTCTAGTTCCTGGTCCCCTTTTCCTATTGGCCTTAGTTGCTTTTAAGGTATCTGCTTTAGTTTCTCTGCGTTAAGGGCAACAAATGCTAGCTAATTTTTTAGGTGTCTTACCTATCCTCCCATTCCTTATGTGCTCTTGCTTTTATCATGTGCTTAAAATCCAATCCCCTTGTTGTGTTTGCCCTTGATCTAATGTCCACATATGAGGGAGAACATATGATTTTTGGTCTTTTGGGCCAGGCTAACCTCACTCAGAATGATGTTCTCCAATTCCATCCATTTACCAGTGAATGACAACATTTCGTTCTTCTTCATGGCTGCATAAAATTCCATTGTGTATATATACCACATTTTCTTAATCCATTCATCAGTAGTGGGGCATCTTGGCTGTTTCCATAACTTGGCTATTGTGAATAGTGCCGCAATAAACATGGGTGTGCAGATGCCTCTGGAGTAACCTGTGTCACAGTCTTTTGGGTATATCCCCAAGAGTGGTATTGCTGGATCAAATGGTAGGTCAATGTTTAGCTTTTTAAGTAGCCTCCAAATTTTTTTCAAGAGTGGTTGTACTAGTTTACATTCCCACCAGCAGTGTAAGAGGGTTCCTTTTTCCACGCATCCTCGCCAACACCTGTTGTTGGTGGTGTTGCTAATGATGGCTATTCTAACAGGGGTGAGGTGGAATCTTAGTGTGGTTTTAATTTGCATTTCCTTTATTGCTAGAGATGGTGAGCATTTTTTCATGTGTTTTTTGGCCATTTGAATTTCTTCTTTTGAGAAAGTTCTATTTAGTTCACGGCCCATTTCTTTACTGGTTCATTAGTTTTGGGGGAATTTAGTTTTTTAAGTTCCCTATATATTCTGGTTATCAGTCCTTTGTCTGATGTATAGTTGGCAAATATTTTCTCCCACTCTGTGGGTGTTCTCTTCAGTTAGAGACCATTTCTTTTGTTGAGCAGAAGCTTTTTAGCTTTATGAGGTCCCACTTATCTATGCTGTCTCTTAGTTGCTGTGCTTTTAAGTTTGTTTTTTGAGAGCGGGCCTAGCACTTTGCTCTGCTGTGATCCTCCTTCCTCAGCCTCCAGTGTAGCTGAGTTGCAAGGTGAGGACGGTCTAGGATCCTTGGATTCCAGGATCCAGTTAAGGTTTACCTAACAGAAAAGGGAAGAGGAGGGCACTCACCCCAGAGCAGCTCACCACCGTCAGCCCTCCCCCTTGGCTGCAGTCAGCCTCCATCTCATTCCATCTTCCTTCCTCCTATGTGAACTTAAAGAAGTAGCCAAAAGGCCCCAAGTCCACCCGAGGCAGAGATGGGAGGGTTGCAGTCAGAAGCCAGCTGGACAAAAAAAGGCAAGGCCCTATCTGAAAAATAACTAAAGCAAAAAGGACTGGAGGCGTGGCTCAAGTGGTGTAAGGCCCTGAGTTCAAACCCCAGTACCTCAAAAAAAAAAAAAAAAAAAAGTGGTCAAAGGACTTTACAACCTTTGACTTGGGAGAAGCAAATTTACTCAGTATGGAGAAACACTTTGTTGACATGTAGTGCCCTCAGATTGCCCCTTACCAACTGACAGCACAACAGAACAGGTGGTTTTAAGCAGGACCGAGGACCACTCACTGAGGGCGCTCGAAGTAAGGTTCGGAACTTGAGTAGAACCAACCCGCCAAGCCACCTCCACTCGGCCCCCAGGTAGGCGGGGCTCCACACACACCTTTCCCAGCCAGGTCGAGGGTGAGCCAATGAGAGCTACCTGGGTCACGCGCCGCCGACTAGCAGGCCAATGGGCGTCGGGGGGCGTGGCCAGGGAAATCCGGCTCGGAGCGTTTATAACAAGTTGGAATGCGGCACTGTACAGCGCGCTCCGGTACCGCTGTGACTTCTCCGTGCGGGTGCGGGACACGTGCCGCGGGCTCTAGCTCCCGCAGCGCAGCCGGTCGCCTTCCCCTTCACCCTCGTTCACCTCTCGTTCGCTATGGAGTCGTTGGCCTTTCCTCGGCGCTCGGGCCCGGCTCCCTCGGCCGCCGCCTCACTGACCGTGGAGCTCGCCGGGCCGCTGGCCGATGGGCTCATCAAGTCGCCCAAGCCCCTGATGAAGAAGCAGGCGGTGAAGCGGCACCATCACAAACACAACCTGCGGCACCGCTACGAGTTCCTGGAGACCCTGGGCAAGGGCACCTACGGGAAGGTGAAGAAGGCACGGGAGAGCTCGGGGCGCCTGGTGAGTGCCTCCTGCGGCGTCGGCCGGGTGGCCGCCGGCCGGAGTGCATTGCTCGGTGGGGTCGTTAGCACGCAGTCTGCACCAAGCTGAGGTTGCGGGGGACGGGGCGTGGGCGGGGGGTTGTCCATGATTGTAGGGGAGATCTTGCAGGCAACGCCAGGCAGCATGTCCTTGTACTTGGAGAAGATGAGGCTTGTGTTGAATTTTGCTTGGAACAGACCATTCGATAAGGGTGGATGGAAAGAGAAGGTAGAAGGTACCAGATCTTGGCAGGTGTTTGATAAAAATGTGTGTGGTTGAATGATGAATGAGGTGTGGAGTTTCTCAACTCCAAATCTGGCAGTCCAGCATACGATGCAGATTTGCACAGGGATAGGTTTGACACAGGTCCTTTCCAGCTCCGAGAGTGGGTAAAAATTGCACTATGCTGGGTATTTGATTCCGAGAAATGTGAAACCAGACTCTGGTGCCAGGTCCACTGGCACCAGAGATACCTTTGGGTTTGGGGCCTTTGCAGGAACTTGTCCTGTTGATTTAGTGTGTGGGTAATAGTCACAGCAATCTGTGACTTTGAACAATTGCCTTTACTTCTGTATTCTCAGTTTCCCCTTTTGCAAACATGGAGAAAGAACAGCCTGCCTCACAAGCTGCTAGGAAGATTGAATATGATACAAATGTGAACTTAAATTGGTCCTGACACATAGAACTTGCAGTGAGAACTGATAGATCTGGAAAGGCCAGCCCTGAAAAGATGGCAGATTTGCCAAAAGTTAGCCAACAGTGGTTTTCAAACTTGTGTAGTGTGCGTGGGAATTAGCTGGGGTGCTCGTTTCTCTGGTTCAACGGGAATTTATTCTGAAAGTTTATAATTTGTATTTTAAGAAGCCTTTAGAGCAGGTGGTTTAGGGATTATGTGTTGCCAAATCCAGTTAAGTGCTGGCTGTGAGGTGTGTGTGTGTGTGTGTGTGTGTGTGTGTGTGTGCCCATAGTTAGCCTTGTTAGCTGTATCAAGACTCCTTTCCCCAGATAGTGTTTGCTTTTGCAGCCAGTAGCTGGTTCGAAACTCAAGAAGTCATTTCATTGGTGAAGGAGAGTAGATGTTGGAGAAAGGGGTGGATTATGGCCCCATCAACAGGACCAAGTATGTTTTTCCTGCTAACGCCTGGCACAATCCCCAGTTGCCTGCTGCCAGGTTACAGCTATTGGGCAATTATGTACTTCCTGGCTTTCCTTTTCTTTCTCTTTCTATAAAGTGTGAGGGCCTGGTGCGGCTCCAGGCCCGAGACTCCTGGGCTCAGGCTTTGTCAGGAGCTTAGCTGGAAAATAGTTGCTCGTGGCTTGTGCCCCATGTTTCTTGTTGGGGGCAAGACTGGACTGTGGGGACTGGGGCGGCCCAGAAATTGAGAAACTGAGATCGAAGTTCAGAGATTCCAACAGACTCTTGACGGAGGTCACCGTTGTGTATGGGGAGGAGGGGTGGCAGGAAGGAGGAGAGAGAGATCTCATTTGATTTCAGAGTGAGCTAAATCAGCTTTCAGTTTTCAAACCTCAGTGACTCTAGGCAGGGATTCCAGCTCTTGTTACATCAAAACAGAGAGAATTCAGAAGAAACTCCATGGCTCTGTGCCTCTTGCTGTGTGTAGGGAGCCAAAATCAGTAGGCGTGGGACCTGCCCTGAACCTCCCTGATCCATAGACCACCCAGTACTGCTGCTGGGAATTTGTTCAGGGTCCCTCTTTTTCTTGGAGAGTAGCTTTCTGTTGTGCTAGTGATTTCCCAGTTCTGGAGTGGTGCCCTCATCCCCACCCACCCATCTCTGCATCTGAACTGTCCTGAAGAGAGAGCCCTGTGCCTCAAGATACTTAAATGGAGGACAGGAACATGGGAACTCCCCCAGACCTTCCCCACATGGCCTGAGATTGTTGGTGGGGGCTAGATTCATAGGGAAGCCTAGCACACGTTGCTCTCCCAACCTGTCTAGATGGGTTTAGTAGGGGCCAGATGGGCTTGTCGGGAGGGGCGGGGGGGTAGGTAGGTGGACTAATGGCTGCTGCGGGAGGGCATCAGAGGAAAAACAAACATTTGCTCTGGATCTTGGATACATTCCTGGTATCCAGATGACATTTCCTCCTGTGGTTCTTCCAGCTCCCCTGATTATCCCTCCCCCTAAAGAGAGAAACATATGCTGGGCTCTCTGGAATGGTGGCCACCAAAAGCCTGTGGCGAGATCTACATGAAGTCTCACCTTCAAGGGGTGCCATGACGTTACAAAGGGGAGTCCACACGGTAGAGCTGTGGGGTGGGAATGCTTTGGATTCTTTTATATATAGAATTGCCTAGTGGGCTTTCAAAATGTTTGAAAATGACTGAGATGATCTATTTCCTTCATAGACAGTGGGTGAAACTGAAGCCCAGAGAGGAGAGGTGACATCCTCTGGCTGGTTAGCAATAGGCCTGTAGCACAGAAGCCCCAGACTGTCCATTCCAGGCCCTGGATGACCAAGAGCTGAGTCTTGGTCTGCAAGTTGGCTTTGAGATGAGCCTGGGCTTGCCTCACTGCTCTGTCATTCCAACAGTGAGTTCTGCAGCCTTTCCCAGCGCTCCAGGCTGTGCTTAAGAGTGGGAAAAGTCACTGGGAGCCACCCTCCACCCCCACACACTTGACTCTGTTGATGATCCTGGATGGGGAAACTACACTATATTCCTGGCTTTTAAACCTCGTGGGGATGGCTGCCTAGCTCAGAATCGAGATTGCCAGGGCTCAAATCCCACGACCTCTTTTATTTCAGTTTCTGTAGAGTGGGGATTATAATAATTCCATTCTTCTAGGATTAAATAAGAGAATATATATAACGTGCTTTGTACTGTAGTATCTGACACACAAAATGTTATTGTCTGGGCAAGGTTGGCTTTGACCAAACCCTGCCTTCCCTTTCCTGGGGACCCCTCTATACTGAGTCTGAATGAGTATGAATCGTAATCAACCTTTCTTGATACAAACCACTGTGACATCTGCTTTGTTCGAAGCCCTAGCCTTTCCTTCAGCCTATTCAGAGAAGGGCTCCTGCTGGCCAGCTGCCAAAGGCGTGTTGGGCCGATGCTGTCCTCCCAGCTCCGCCTGCACCTGCCTGCTCAGCAGCAGGGAGGGAGGCTACAGGCGACTCTTGTCCTTGGGCTCCAGCCAAACCACACAAGAGGGCTGGGCCGGGAAGCTCCTGGCCCAGGAACCTGGCAGAGGGGGCTGTATGGCAACTGGGAAGGGATGGCATGGTGCAGGCTCCACTCAGAGCCAATTCCTGCTCCCTGCCTGGTTCTTTAGTGGGGTGGTGAGCCGCCCCTAGCCCCATCCCCAGTCTGCTCAGCCCCAGCCAGCTTAGCCCAACCTCTACTCCACTATCTAAGTGGGTCATCCTCCAGCTTCTTGCCTGCCTCCCAGACAGCAGCTGCCCCGTAAAAGGCCAGAGAGGAGTCAAGGATCTTGGCTCCAAATCAGGGTGATAGCTATGACCAGAGATGCCAAGCTTGCACCTTCTCCCAGCACCTGGAATCTCTGGATCTCCATTTTTTTTTTTTTCTAAGACCTTTCTACCACACTCTCATAAATGCAAATCATTCTGGGAGGGAGGCAGTATTTACCAGTGGAGCTCCACCCCCACTGGGGTGTTGGCATAGGACCAGCATGTCTATATATTTGTAAGTGGGATGGGTTGGCTATTCAGCCTGACCTGGAGCAAGATATGGGGCAGTCCCTTCTCTAGGAATAAGAGATAAGGCTGGGAACTTCCAAGGGACTTTTGACTTCTGAGGTGGTAATTTCTCCAGACAACACCCCTCTATCTTAGATCCTGATTCTGTCTTGATGCATTGAGGAACCTTGAAAAATTCAGTGTGCCTTTCTGGACTTCCATTGTTCACTGTTTGCAAAATGAGATAAGAAATTAGCCCAGCTGCCTTTCCAACTTGCAGGGCTGCAGGAACAAAAATATTACTAGGACGGTATCAGCAGGAATTATTCTCCTGGTAGGTCACTATGGCCCTAGTTTGGGGTCTTGAAACAATCCTTGCCTAGCACTTTCCTGGCACAGTAGCAGGTGGCCCTTTTGGGAAGAAGCCCAGCACAGAATGCTAGAGGGTAGAAGAGAGCCTAGAGACCATCCTGATGTGCAAATGCTTTCTACCTAGAGCGCTCTTGCCCCTCCTTAGCCCATCTCCTTTGGCTTGGCAACTCTCACCCATCCTTCAAGATCTAGAACAGTTTTCTCTCATGGATGTTTTCCACTGCTCCTCTAGGCAAAGAAAGTTCTTTCTGGTGCTCCTGGAGCCCCTTGTTAGGCAGGGTCCTTAGCTACCATATTTGTCACACTAGACAGAAGTGGATTTGATTGCTAGTTCTCCCACTGGACAGAGGGCCATTACACAATGACTATCCAGTCTTTGTCTGAATCTTCACCACCTAGCATAGTCCCAGATACATAGTAGGCCTTCGGCAGGCATTTAAAGAATCACTGTTGTTTAATTTTTCAGAACAATACATTAAAACTAGCCAGCCCACTTCACCAGATAATCCAAGTGACTGCCTTGAGTCACACAGCTTCATAAGTGCAAATAAGGAACCAGCTGGTTTCATTGGGCTGGTTTTCCTTTCTCCATCTGAGGATGGTGACCATATAATATTTGAGAGTAAAAGGAATAGTTGTACCATGACAAACCACGACTATGTGGCCTTCTGGGTAGCCAGGACAGCAGTTGGTACCTTCTTCCTTGGCCTTAGTTTGCTTATTTTTATTCTAGAATATAGTTACCAACTACCTTGCAGGTAAGAACAAAGGTCCCTAATAATTATTTCTCATAACTGAGATGGACTCCACCCTGGCCTGGAAGGGAAGAAAATTTTATCTGGGTACTGGTTCCTTGGGTCAAAGATCCACTCAAGGACTTAGCCAATAAATATTTATTTGTGGTATGTGTTCAACTAGTAAACAATTGTTAAATACTTTCTGTATGCTTGAGCTCTGTCAAGACCTGCGCTAGTGCTGTATCTGATTTACTTTGTTGTATATTGAGAGACCTCTCCTCTTAGTTCTGGGAAAAGTTGGGAACAGTGGTCCAGCCCCACCAAGGCAAAGGTACATCTCTCTTCTTGTCTATTACCTGCTTGGGGACTGATAAAGACCCTATGATATAATTTGTTTCTTTCCTGGAAAAGAAGGTAAGCAAGCCAGCCAAGCAGTGATCTCCTGGAACCTAATGCAAATAATGGATCAGTAGCAGAGTGCGTGCCAGGGTGCATGAGGCCCTGGGTTTGATCCCAGCATTAACCCCCATCCTCACCAAAACAAACAAACAAACCTGATTTAGAATTACAGGTTTCCAGGGTTGAAAGAAATGGACCTTAGGGTTCTACTTATGTGCCCTTTAGCCACACTCCTAGCATCCTGAAGACCCCCCTTTTTTTTCTTTTTTTTTGAGCCTTGTTTCTGTTAGGTATTATCTTCAGGGCTCTGCCCCAAGCCTATGATTCATCTCACTCTCTTTTACATAACTATACAACCAAGATGTGCCTAGTCTGTGCAAAAGTATGCATCTTGAGCTCACAAGTTATTTTTGGCTGTCTAGATAGTGGTATATCTTTATATGTGATTGTTTTCACTATCTACTAACACACTTTTTAAGGACCTTTGTCTCTGAAGAGCTCACAGCACGTTCCCCATTGTCTGATGTCAGAAACAAAAACTTAGAGAAGAATTTGTCCATAAAAAAATCTTCCCTTCAGGGAGAGAAAAGGGGTGTGGAGAGAGATGTGTGGGAATGACGCTCCAGGTTGAATCCAGAAGAGAGAGGTGCCTCCTAATTGGAGAGGGATTCAGGACCTCTACCCCCGCCCCTATGCCCCAGTTTCAAGCCCAGGGATTTTTCCTGCTTAGCTTCTAGGGGAGAAATGGGTGGGTTGGAGCAGAAGGCTAGCAGCCCAACCCCCTGCAGCTGCAGCACGAGGAGGAGGCTCCATGGTGACCATGTCTCTCCCGTGCCATTGTTTTCACTGCCCTGCTCTGGGATGGCCCTAGTGGGGCCTCCCCTCTTTCAGCCTTGCAGCTTCGGGGGAGGGGCAGGGCGGAGGGCACGCCATCCCTGGCCTGTTGCTGGGGTGACCGGCCTGGGCCATTGTGAGCAACTCCTCTTACGGGATTAGGGCCGTTCCGCATTCTTGTCTGATGGGGAGCACAGGCTCTGTCCCAGGGAGCCGAGCCGGAAGCCATTGTGTGCCTTCGGAGCCTGTGAAAAGGTGGATTAGAGGCCCCTCCCCTGGAGCAGGGGTTTCCTTCTCTGGCTCCTTTTGAATCTTGAGGGGAGGCCAGCCTCCGTGGGAAATTGAACGAGTTGCTGTTTACCTCGGCCTATGCCTGCAGATTTCTCCTAACTGCCCTATCTCCTGCGAAGAGGAAGTCTCTTGTTTATCATTCCTGTCCTTGGACAGGACTTGGCAGGAACTGACCAGCCTGGGACACCACCTCCCCCACATGGAGGCTTCATAGCCTTTGGGGCCCTGTAGCATTTGTATAGTTCACATCACAGAATCAGACCAGGAAAACCCCTCAGACAGCTCCGCTCAACTCATTTATTTCAGAGAAAAGGAAACTGAGGCTCTGAGAGGGGTGGGACTTGCCCACAGGGACAGGGTCAGAACCTGGAGAATCATGGCCCAGATCTCCAGGCAACGTGTCTCACACACGCCATGGACTCCTGGCCCTGTTTTCCTATCAGCTACAGTGACCTGGGCCTCGTTCAAGAGCTGCTGCTGAGCGGGATAGAGCAGACTCAGGCTCTTCAGTCCCCAAGAGATGACTTGAGCTGCATTTCACAGCTTTCTCTGTTTCCTCTCCCCTCACTCTGCCCTTCCTGAGCCCACCACAGGCACCAGCCAGACGGGTTAATCCTTATATGGTATTTATCACCTTACAAAGATAGCAAGTCCCAGAGGACTAGGTAACTGTCTAGTTGTTTGTTTGCTTGTTGCTAGGGAAGGGACATTCCTTACCTGGATTGATGAGACTACTGTTTGGGGGTTTTGGGTTTTTTGGTTTTTTTTTTTCATATTTGTTTTGGTGTGGTTTTTTTCAACTATGGTAAAATATATATAATATAAAATTTGCCATTCTAACTAGTTTTAAGTGTAAAATTAAGTGGCATGTTAAGTACATCCTCAAGGTTGTAAATTATTAGTGTCCACTTCCAAAATGTTTTTTCATCCCAAACAGAACTTCTACACCCATTAAATAGTAACTTTCTCATTCTACCCTCCTGCCCCCTATTCTATCCGTATATTTTTGCTTATTTTGGGTACCTCATAAAGTGGACCATATACTATTTATCTTCCTGTGGCTGGTTTCTTTCACTGAGCATAATATTTTCACAGTTCAGCCATGTTGTAGCATGTGTCAGAATTTCATTCCTTTTTTATGACTGAATAATATTCCATTCTATGTATGTATTACATTTTTGTTTATCTATTCATCTATTGACGGGCATTTGGGTTGTTTTCACCTTTTGGCTAGAGCCTGGTTGTTTATATATGGCAATTTAGAGTGCTGGAGCAGAAAAAGCAGTGAATTCAGAATCAGAGAGCCAGCTGTGTCAAGGAGTGACTGTGACTTTGAGCAGAGCATTTACCCTCTTTGGGTCCCACTTCCCTCACCTGCAAATGGGGAGGACAGTGCTTTCTGTGCCTACTTCCTAGAGTTGTCGTGAAGGCCAATTTACTAATGCAAAAACCTGGTTATTCAGTGCTCAGCATCAAGGCCCCGTGATGCTGAAAACAGGTCCAGTCCTTGTACTCATAGTGCATCAGGGCAAATTTGCTTTGTAAACCACAAAGCATCAGTCTTATGGAAGCCGGATGCTGGTTGTTACCCTCCTCATTCATTTGTAGACTCTGAATAAAAAACTGTTCCACACCCAGCTGAAAACCTTTTCTAGAGCAGGTGCTCTCCAGCCCCTCTGCCAACTCCCCTAGTGAAGGGTGGGTGGGGTGGCTTCTCTCAGTGCATTTTATGGCTTGTGCAGCAGCTGCAGGCAGACCTCCAGGGCAAGGCCCCCAGTATGTCCTCAGGGATGCCTGTACCTGCAGACCTTTCTCCTCAATTTCTTGCATTCTCTGTTCCCAGGTGGCCATCAAGTCGATCCGAAAAGACAAAATCAAAGATGAGCAAGATCTGTTGCACATACGGCGGGAAATTGAGATCATGTCGTCACTCAACCACCCCCATATCATTGCTATCCATGAAGGTACAGTTGGCGGGCTTTGGAGTTGGCAGTTGTGTGTGTGTGTGTGTGTGTGTGTGTGTGTACTGGCAACACAAAGAAAAAAATGACACGGGCTTTAGAGTTGAGCAAAAACTGGGTTTGAAACCTAGGTTCATGACTTAGGAAAACTCATTTAATAGAGGGTCTGACCTCATTTCCTCATTTATTTTTTTTAGTGGCACCGGGGTTTGAACTCACGGCCTCATGCTTGCTAGGCAGGTACTCTTTCCACTTGAGCCATTCCACCAGCCTCAGTTCCTCATTTATTCCTCAGTTCTTCATTTATAAAACGCAATAATCCCATCTACATTACAGATAATGTAGATAATGTCACTAAGCGCCCTGTGCTTTGCTCATAGTGGAATTGCAGGCTTGTTTTTTTGGAAGTCCTGGGATCAAACCTTGACCCTCATGTATGCTAAGCAGCTGCTCTACCCACTGAGCTATATCCCCAGCCTAGACTGCTTCCTAGCCCAGTGAGATGAGTAGCAACCCCAGAGAAGCTAAAACACACATAGACCTGCACCTGGCTCAGCGTGAGGGCGTTGTTCTTCATGTGTCCCAAGAGCCAGGCCCCCTCAAGTCCACTCTCGAGTCCATAGGCTCTGCCTCTCCTGGTCTCCCTTGGCCTCCACTCTTCTGACATCAGTGCTGGTTTTTCTATTCCATCTGCCCTCCTCCCTGTGACCCAGACAACAAAGTGAGCAAGAGAGGGTGACGAAGGAAAGAGGAGAGAACCCTCCCACATACACCTGTCTGCTCCAAGCCTTTATGTAATATCAGTTAGATGGGAAACCAGGAATAACAGTAGCAGTAGGAGGGAGGGAAGGGAGCCTGTGGCTTTGTCCTCTGTCTGAAAAAACAGAGATGTCTCCGCTCTTGGCTCATAGGAAGATTAAAGGTAGAGACTCTGGCATGGCCCAGTGGCCTGAGCCTGTCCCGTGAGGAGCCCAAGCAAGTGGCTGAGAAGGCTAATTGTGTCTCTGTGAGGTTCCCTTAGGGAAGAGTGGGCAGATGACAAAGTATTGGTTAAGCCAGGCTGCGCTGAGTGATTGGGCTGTGTGTGTGTGTGTGTGTGTGTGTGTGTGTGTGTGTGTGTGAATTCTCCCTACGCCAGTATCTTCACCTGGGTCTGAGGACTGAGCTCTGAAGCCCAGGATGCAGCCTCTCTACCTGCAGATTCTGCAGACACAGGGAAATCCTAGTGACTGTGTCTGAGGGACTCCCCTAGATTCATCCCCATCCCAGTACAGGCTTCAGGGATTATGGGTTTCTTCCAGGTCTTGTATCCAAGTGTCTGGGAGTTGGGTCTTAGGAGAAGCCTTGTCCCTCAGCTCCTTCTCAGAGGCTAGACAGCAATAGCTCTGGGCTGGCCAAGCAAGCCAAACTCATAGGACTCGTTTGACACAACAATCCAATGTCATGGACATGCGTGTTCTGACACACACCCAGCTGAAGGGCTAATTTGGTGAACCAGCCACTCCCTACCTTTCTAGAGGACTGGAGCCAAGACAGGACCTGAGGTAACAAGAAGGCCCCTACACGTGAATAAAGATGGGCTAGCTGGGGTGGGCTGTCTGTCAGGAAGCCAGCCAGTCAATTACCACATACTTATTGATTGTTTCTGCGTGTGAGGTCATATGCATTAGGCCCTAGCCTGGGTACTTTGGGACATCAAAGATGGTAGGAGTGATGATCTCACAGATCTCCATGGTACTATATTGTTCACAGTCCACTTTTGTATGCTTTACCCATCTCCTGATCCTCAAGCCAGGCCTTATTATTGGCATTCTTTTCAGATTTCCAATGAGTACACTTACTGTAAATGAAACAGTCGAGCCCAGTTGAGTGCTTGCTTGTACGTCAGACACTGTGCCAGCTTGCCTAGCCAGACCCAGAGCTATCACTGACTTTTTACCCGTTTCTCTCCCCAGCTCTATAAAGTTGCAGTTATTATCCCACTTCAAAATAAGGAAACTGAGGCACAATGGTTGAATAACTTGTCCAAGCAAATCTGTTTTCTTACTGATGCATCTAGAAGAGATTTGACCCAGGTCACTAGGAAAAAAAGTGTCAGGTTCTGAACCAAAGAACCTGGTCTTTCATCCCACTAGTATTGTCTTTTTTTTTTTTTTTTTGACTTCCTGGGAGTTTGCAGAGTAGTTTCCAGAATTCTCAAAAGCCTGACTTTAGCCACTACCCTTGATTTTAAGCCATTATCCTTATTCCTGGAAGATGCTGAATTCTTCAAAGGCCTCCTTCCTCCTGCCCTTATTTTCCTCTGCACCCCATTAGTAGACATTCTTAGAGTGAGGTCCTGTGTAGTTTGGGACCAGGGAGGATGTATGGCCCCTTCTCTGATGTTCCTACTCAATTCCCCCAGTGTTTGAAAACAGCAGCAAGATCGTGATCGTCATGGAGTATGCCAGTAGGGGTGACCTGTATGACTACATCAGTGAGCGGCAGCGCCTGAGTGAGCGTGATGCCCGGCATTTCTTCCGGCAGATCGTCTCTGCTGTGCACTATTGTCACCAGGTAAGCAACCACCTGCCCGAGCCGTGTTCTGAGTTGGTGGGTTCTGGAGCTAGTTTGGACCACAGAGAGTCCATGACTTGTCCAGCATCACACAGAAAGACAAAATGGCTTCTGGACTCCCAAACCAGGAAATGTTGGGATCTCTGGCTTTGAGTCTTTTGGCAGGGATAGAAGAGCCTGTGATTTATTGCAAATGCACCAATAAAGATGGGTATCCTAGCCGACCTGTGCTCAACCCCACCCACTTGGCTCCCTTTGTGTTACCTTCTAGATGAGGTCCTCTATCCTCTTCCCTTCCCTGGTGACATTCACTGACTCAAATCCATCTGTCTTTCAGAATGGGGTTGTGCACCGAGATCTCAAACTGGAGAACATTCTCTTAGATGCCAATGGAAATATCAAGGTGAGCCCCACTTCTCATTTCCAGAAGCTTCCCCGTCCCACCCTAGCTTTTCTGCATTGTCCCATTCAGATAACACTAAGTGCTTAATGTGTTCCTGAAGGAGTTAAGCAAAGCTCAGACTTCTGTGATGGTGCTGGTAGGGACCTAGCCATCATCTGTTCCAATGCCACCTTTATGGATGGGGCACAGAGGCCTCAAGATGAGAAGTGACTTGCACAAGGTCACCCCGTTATCCAGTGACTGAGCCTGACCTAGAACCAAGGTCTCTCACTCCCGGACTTTTGATGTCACAAGGCTGACAAGACATCTAAATCTAGGGTCACCTTTCACTCACAACATTGAGACTGGTAGGGTAGGGCCTGAGTTTTCCCTGCATGTGTGCATATGTGTACTCACATGCACGGATACACAATTTAATCTGTTGCAATTAGGTATCCTTTTGGCACCTTTCCCCATCAACCAAGCACCCCATCACTACTTCCTGTTTGCTGCAGCTGCTGAATTCTCATGCTGAAGTTGTTAGATTTAGGTCAGTCAGGAGAATTTTGTACAGATTGGATAAACTCAGCTCTCTGTGCTGGAAGGGGGAGATGGTATGAGCTAGCTGAAGTAGAGCTGGACTGGCAAGTACCTGGTTGACTCAGCACTCTACCCTCCTTAGAACATTCCTGATCAAGGACAAAGTCTCCATGGTTTCTGACCTTTGCCCTAAGATGCCCTGCAGTGCCCTGGTACTGAGTCCATGCCCCTTACCCACCCAATTCCTGGAGCAGGTGGGGTTTCTTTGATGCTGACCAGGGTGGAGGGGAGGTCAGAACTGGTAAACACACATACACTGGACAGGCACGCACCTTCCTGTCTGTACCAATCTTAGACCTCACTATGGGTTCATCTGATAACTGCTTGATAAGAAGCCAATAAAACCATAAACAAAAGAGCCAGAGTTTCATAAACAGTTTCTCCCCACCCTGGGCACACATGACCCTCTGATGGGGTGAAGAGGTGAAGAGCAACAGGGCATGACCTCCACCTCTAGCTGAGGATACATCAGAACAGATCTCTGGGAAGTGAGAGAATGAAGTTGGGTCCTCTCAAACTCTCAGAATTAGATGGCCAGAGAGTCCTAGGAAAGGTTTCTTCTCCAGGGCTATAATCACAGCCCTGATCTTTGTTCTACCATCTCTCACCAATTGCCCATTAGCAACCGGGCTGACCCCAGGTGCCTGCTCAGGGCAGAAAGATGAGCCCTTTTCTGAGAAGGGCAGCTCAGACATCACACGGCCTTGCTTGCCCCTGGGGGCTCTGGCAATGGCATGAGAAGTGGGTCCTCCCCTCCATCTGGCTGACCTACCCTCCTGTAGTTAGTAAATGTCCCTGGAACCTCACCCAAGGTCTCACCTGTGCTAGGAGGTCTGCGTGGGAGCACACGATCAGGCTGGGAGGCACAACTAAAGAGATGGGTGTGGGGAGCTGTTGGAAACTGGAACTTCACAGGAGATCTCTTGCCATGGATAGCTTCCTTGGGGGCAGACTTGCAGGATCAGGAGGGTGTACAAAGCAGAAGTGAATATCCCTAGAGTAGAAGAGTATGGCATGAGCAAAGGGGTCCGGGAGCAGGGAGGACCCTAGAGCCCCCATATACCTCTGCCTAGGTACTCTTCATTGCCACAAGCCTCAACATGCTTTCTTCCAGGGCTTGAGCTATGTTGACATAGTTAAACCCAATGTGGGCTAGGGGTTTCCCGGAATCTGGAAAGGGGTGGACTGAGAGCTGCAGGATACCTAGGTATGACCCATTGTTTGTCCCCGTACTGCAGATCGCTGACTTTGGCCTCTCCAACATCTACCACCAAGACAAATTCCTGCAGACATTCTGTGGGAGCCCCCTCTACGCCTCACCTGAGATTGTCAACGGGAAGCCCTACATGGGACCAGAGGTGAGTGGTCCAACTCCTCCTGCCAGCTTTAGTCAGAATCGTGCGGGATAGATAGCTAGTTTTCTAGTTACTTCCTTTTTGAGAGTACAAAACTCAGGCCTCTAAAAAGCAATAACTTACTAAGTCTCTAGCCAGGAGTAGCAAAACTAGCACCAGAACTCAGGTCTCCTGACTCCCCATCTCATTCTTGCTCCCTTGTTCCCATAACCTTCTTGGCACCCAATCCAGCCTCCCTGAGTGATGTGGTATCTGTCAGTGCCACCCTGCCCCAGCCCAAAAGGATGGTCTAGCCATTGCTCCTGTGCTGTGGCTGTCCTCCCTGGGGGAGGCAGTTGATAGCACTTCTTCCTGTGAGCCTCAGTCCCTCTGCAGTGTGCCCCCTTTGTCCCTGGGTATGGGAGGGGGTCATGCCCAGATGCACTGGTCTCGCAGTTCTCCAGCATGTACAGTTTTCTTCCCTGGTGTTGGAGGTGAGGCTAGCAGCCAGATTGTGGCACATGGGCATCCTTGCTGAATCCTCTCTCTCAGGTGGACAGCTGGTCCCTGGGTGTCCTCCTTTACATCCTGGTGCATGGCACCATGCCTTTCGACGGACAAGATCATAAGACACTGGTGAAGCAGATCAGCGATGGTGCCTACCGGGAGCCACTCAAACCTTCTGGTGAGTGATAGCTTGTGGGTGTTTGCATCCAGGCTGGAGTGGCAGTTTAGGGAACCTCCCCAGTGCCTGAGACCCCTGAGGAAGGAGGGAATGTCTCTTCCTTATAGGCATGCTTTATTATACCTGGGAAGTGCTTCCTAAGGTCTGACTTAGATGCTCTCTGCTACACTTGTGTCACACAAGTGACACACATCCTCCGAAATCTGTGTTCTTTCACATACGATGTAGAAGGCTGGAAGAAGTGTATGCCAGCCTTACTTTATCCTGAGCACAGTCCCTACCTTCAGAGGGTAGAATTTCATTGAAAAGAAAGAAAATATATGCTAACATACAAACGAGAGATGATGAAGAGGTCATGGGACAGAGGCAACAGCAGAGTCCGTTCAGGAAAGCTGACCTGGGGAGCCCACCTGGGCTGGGGCTTGATTGGAGCCCTCAGTGGGAACGTTCATAGCTGACCCAGGAGTGAGCAGAGTCTTTGTTCAAATGGGGGCCCATGACGGGGAGGGGCCGTGGGTGCCAAGCTGAAGCCTTTGCCTTTGGTCTTCCAGATGCCTGTGGTCTGATCCGGTGGCTGTTAATGGTGAACCCCACCCGTCGGGCCACACTGGAGGATGTGGCCAGTCACTGGTGGGTCAACTGGGGCTATGCCACTCGTGTAGGGGAGCAGGAGGTTCTGCGTGAAGGTGGGCACCCCACTGCTGACTCTGCCCGAGCCTCCATGGCTGACTGGCTCCGCCGCTCCTCCCGCCCCCTCCTGGAGAATGGGGCCAAGGTGTGCAGTTTCTTCAAGCAGCACGCACCTGGAGGTGGGAGCACCATGCCCGGCCTGGAGCGCCAGCATTCGCTCAAGAAGTCCCGCAAGGAGAATGACATGGCCCAGTCTCTCCAGGGTGACCCAGCTGAGGACACCTTCCCTCGCCCTGGCAAGAGCAGCCTCAAGCTCCCAAAAGGCATTCTCAAGAAGAGGGCCACCTCCTCAGAGGGGACTCAGGAGACCCCTCAGGAGGTCAGCCCAGTTTCCAACAACCCAGAGCAGGTGGCCCCCCTACTCCCCAAAAAGGGCATCCTGAAGAACTCTCGGCAGCGCGAGTCTGGCTACTACTCCTCTCCCGAACCCAGCGAGTCTGGGGAGCTGTTGGACGCAGGTGATGTGTTTGTGAGTGGGGACCCCATGGAGCAGAATCCCCCCCAAGCCTCAGAGCTGATCCTGAACCGCAAGGGCATACTCAAACTCAACGGCAAGTTCTCACGCACCACCTTGGAGCTTACGGCCCCAACCACCTTCGGCTCCCTGGATGAACTGGCCTCGTCTCGCCCTCCAGTACGGGCCAGCCGTCCTTCGGGAGCTGCAAGTGAGGATAGCATCCTGTCCTCTGAGTCCTTTGACCAGCTGGACTTGCCTGAGCGGCTCCCTGAGCCTCCACTGCGGGGTTGTGTGTCTGTGGACAACCTCATGGGGCTCGAGGAGCCCCCCTCGGAGGCTCCTGGCAAGTGCCTGAGGCGCTGGCGTCGGGATCCCCTGGGCGATAGCTGCTTTTCCCTGACAGACTGCCAGGAAGTGACAGCAGCCTACCGGCAGGCCCTAGGGATCTGCTCAAAGCTCAGCTGAGGATGGACGGGCAGGCTCTGAGATGTAGTTGGCTATGTCCTAAGGGGAGAGTGCTGCTCCCCTGCCTCCTAGGACCAGCATCCCAGCTCCAAAAGTGAAAAGGGTGTGCACTGGAGCCTTATGGAGGACTGGACCAGGAATGGGCAAATGAAGTGTGTCAGGGGCTTAGTGTCTTCAGCCCTATTGAACGAGGAAGATGATAGAGGGGGAAAAAGAGTAGAAGAGTAGAGGAGAACGGGGAAGGCCCATGGTGGAGTCCTGGTTGCCCCGCAGTGGGGCTGCAGAGACCTGGAAAGAACACTCCCATCAGTGCCTGCCTTCTTTACTGCCATAAGCAAGTGTTACACTTGGTGCCTTCAAGCACAGCCCCTTCTCTCCTCATTCCCTACCATAGTGGGGTATGAAGTGGGAGCTTCACTTAAGCTCCCATCCCACTTGAAGGGCTGGAATATGGCACCTCTACCAGGCCTGGGGTGTCCTGGAACTGCTCTGAAGTAACCCTCCCTTATTTATCCTGGGAGTAGGAAGCAGCCTCTGTTTCCTCTCCCCTTTCCCAGCCTCCACACCTGGCCTGAGCCTCCAGGAGTCGCTGCTATAGATCGAAAAGACTTGCAAGACTCAGGCTGCTGTCAGACTTCATCTCAAGGGATTCCACGCTCCTCTGGAACCCACCCTGGACCTCAAACACTTGAACTTCTGCCTCTAAGCTGCTCCTGAAGTCTAGACTGGATGTGTCAATTTCTCTGGGCTTGCAGGATCCTAGAATGTCCTTAATTTATTTTTATGTTCTCAATTCTGTGTTTTTAAAAAAGCGAATCTTTATAATGTGAATGCTATGTTTTAGGGAAATTCACTGACATCCAGGTTTCCTATACACAGAGGTACATGACTCCTCTCTAATCAGAGGAGGGGGATCTTTTATAAGCCCACAAGTTCCCTTGCACTGTCTGGAGATGAGTCTCTGGGTCCTTTCACTCTATATCCTGCTGCTGTCTACCCTCAGTGACCAAAAGAACACTCCATTAAAAAACCACAATGGTGATTTGAAAACAGCCTCTGTTCTCTTGGGGTGGAGGGAGGATAGGGCAGGACTTTGAGCCTTCTCATAACACTTTTCCCCTGGGCTGCCAGGGATGGAACACAGAGAAACTGCTCAATCCAAAAGGAACAAAAGGAGTGGGGGCGTAGCGCGGAGCTCAGTGGTAGAACAGTTCAGTGATGGACCCCTGGTTTAGCGTGCACTCAGGATCTCCAGCACCACAAAACAAATAAAATAATAAACAAACAAACAAAACCCTCTGATGCCCTAAGCTTCCCATTACACCTGCACCAGCAGTTTTGGCATGACCTTCTTAAGCACTCAGGTAGAAAAGTGCTGGGCCTAGGGTCCCAGATTGCTCCTGCCCAAGGTAGTAAAGGAACAGGGTCTGGCATTTTACCCAGCCCCAACTCTACCCTGGTGCTGCCCCTCCTCCATCTGCTAGCTGCCTGGCCCCCTGCTGCTTGAAGACACCCGGGCAGCCTTTATTCTCTCTTTCCAAAGAAATCCCCTTCCCTGGCCTGCTTTCCTCCCTCCTCCCTCCGCCCCCACTCCAGACTACTGGAGGAAGTAAAGAATGCCTGGAATGTCCACACACACCCCCAGGCCAACCCCCTGCAGAGAATTCACCATGCGGCTGCTCCATTGAAAAACTCCTGGGCCCCAAGGACCACGATGAAAGCTGGACAAGGACAAAGTGCAGGCTGGCAGCTGCCTGGCTCCAGCTCCAGGCAGGCTCCCTCCCCACTCTGGTATTCTGGTATTTGCAGGCCCCCAAACCTCCCCACTTGTGGCCAGCTCCAGCTCCCGCTCCACAGCACTCCTGACTTTCCTGCAGCTGTTCGTGTCTGCCAGGCAGAGAACTGGACCTCCATCTCTGCACCGGGAGAGCCACTATGGGGTCAAGATGGGATGGTGAGCAAGAAATTGCTTAGGTGGCAGCTAGAGTCAACTTGAAAAATAGATGTCATGGTCCTAGCTCTAGGCTAGGCTCGAGTAAGCACCAGAAAAATACAGGGGTGGATGTTCACCCTCAAAAAGGGCAGAGTCAGGACTGGGGGTGGAGGCCCTGAGTTCAGTTCCCAGTACTGTGGAAAAAAAAAAAAAAAGGGCAGAGTCCACTGTGGTGCAAGCAGGGTTCATTTATTCCTTACACTCATGACTCCTGCAAACCCTGGTGTGCTAAGCTGTGTGGCAGACAGGTGATTGCATTGCTGGGCAATAAACATGATCTTAGCTTTGAGAAAGCTACAGACTAGAGGGCAGGGTAGCACAGATGAATTAAACCCAATGAAAAACTGTTCAACTAATGTAGGATGAGAGAGAGGAGAATTGCATCCTGGGAGATAATAAGGGCCACTTTCTCTTTTTTTTCTTGCCATGTTGGGGATCAGACTCAGGGCCTTGCCTATGCTATTCAAGTGCTCTATCACTGAGCAGCACCCTCAGCTCTTGGCTTTTTATAACAAGATCTCATTATGTAGCCCAGGCTGGCCTCGAACTCTTGATCCTCCTGCCTATACCTCTGGAGGACTGGGATTACAGGTGTGCACCACTAGCATTGTGTGTGTGTGTGTGTGGAGAGGATAGTACTGAGACTTGAACTCAGGCAAGCATTTGCTAGGCAAGCACTGTGCCATTTGAGTCATGCCCCCAGCCACTTTTCACTTTAATTTGTTTTTCAGACAGGGTCTCACACTTTTGCCCAGGCAGGCCTCAGACTGTAATCCTCCTATCGCTGCCTCCTGAGTAGCTGCAATTACAAGCTTTTACCACCCTATCTGGCCCATTTCTTAAATACTCATGCAGCAGGCACATTGTAGCCTTGTCAGTTTGGCTCTATTTCTATCACTCTCAAAACCCAGGTCTATGGGATGCCAAATCTTGGAGAGTAGGGAGACTCATTTGAACTAAATTAGATTGGGAAAATTGGGTAAAGGAACAAAAGTAGATGGATCTACAAATATTTATTGAGCATCTATGACATGCCAGGTATAAGAAATATAGTAATTTCCTCTAACTGGGAATACCCTCTCCTGGTCTCCACAAACCCTAAGAAGGAGTTAGGAGCAAGGCAAGGTGGCACACGTCTGAAATCCCAGCACTTGAAAGGCAGAGGCAGGACTGTGAATTGGAAACCAGCCTGGACTACTAGAGAGTTCTAGGCCAGCCTAGGGTAGATAGGAGAACCTGTCTCAAAAACAATAACAATAAAAGATTATTTCTTAAAAAGCTAGGAGAGAAGAGGGGACAGGGAGGAGCTGAAGAGGGGGGCAGGAGTAGGGGAGGATATAAGAGGAGGAGGGCTGTTCCAAGTGGGAAACTGAGGTATGGAATGAGGGAGGGAAAGGAGCCAGCCCTGGCAGTCCTTTGCATCGGCACCATCCCAGCAGGTGCTGGGCAGATGGGCTTTCCAGGAAAGAAAAGCACCACACAGGTATTTGGTCCTAAGAGCTTGGTCTCCTGTGGTCTGTTTGCTTCATCTGGAGGCCTGGGTATGGATGAATGGGAAGAAAACTTCTACCATCTTGGTCCCCAAGAGACCTAGACGTGGGGGTGGGGGCCTTAGATCCCATCTGCACAGACCTTCTCCTCACCTGCCGGGATAGTTCATACCAAAAACATTCCAGAAAGCAGGCTCAGAGATGACGCTGAGCCCTGGGGGAGAAGGCTGGGCCTGCAGGAGTATTTAGTGCCACATCAGTGCTTCGGGAATGTGGGTAACCCAGACAATGATGGGGGAGGGCAACTTCGGGATATAGGAAAGGCCTTCTGAACGCAGTGTTCTCAGCTTCTTCCTGAGGTGGGCCCAAGCTGTTCTTGAGTGGAAACCCCCTCACTAGGTAGTACTCAGACTTCTCTGTGGAGGAAGGGAAACTCCAAGATGTGTTAGCCTGGCCCCACCATCATGTTGACCCCTTCACTTCTCCCTCTGCCACAGCCAACCAGCTGCCCTCCTGGTGGGAAAAAATAAAGGGGAAACAGGGGAGATCTGGATGTCACCCACAAGTCACAGTGCTCACCCCCCATAAAACTCCCAGGAATCAGGATTTGCAGTGCCCTCAAGGATGACCCAGGACAAAGAATTGGCTACAAAGCGAACCTGGATATTTTTAAAGCAGGAGAAGGGGTAGGGTGAGAACCACATAGTAGATGACAGGGGTGGTTTTCTAGAAAAGAGAATAGATGTGTAGGCCATGGCAGGGAACAGGAATAGGTCCAAGACCAATGGGCTGAGGCCTCTGAGATGCAGGATTCAGTGTGATAAACAGTCACCTATATAATGTGTTCATTCACTCATTCAGTCATTAAATATTTATTTACTGTAGGCCTACAATGTACACGGCAAATATGTTTATAAATAAAACTAACAAAAATCTCTACTCTCTTAGAAACAAGTTCTAGAACAACCTATGAAACTAGAGCAGAGTGAATGAGAGAGGAGCCCCCGACGGAGTGAGGAGAAATAATCAGGGAGGGAAAAGTTGATTATATGAGGTCTTGTGAGCCATTCTAAGGTCATAGCTTTTATTACTGATACAGAAAGCCACTGGGAGGTTTTGAGCTAAGGAGTGATGTGATCTAATTTAGGATTTAAAAAAAAAAAAATCCCTCTAGCTGCTTGTTGAGGAGAGCAGTGGGAGGCTGAGGGGGACCTAGTTGGTGGTCAATTCTGGAAAGAGGTGGTGGGGCGTGGTGGCTTATGGGGCTCCCACACCTCTGGAGCCTCATTGTTTCCGCATTGGACTAGAATTTTAGCAGTAAAGAAATGAATAGTCAGACTTGGAAACATATTTTGAAGGGTGAGACAAGAGGCTATCCTAATAGATTGCATGTCAGATGTGAAGAAAGGAGAGAAACCAAGAAAAACTCCAGGCAGGGTTTGGGGTTGGAGAACAGAGCAGTACTGGGCTAGGGACTCCTATTTTGCCAGGTTGGCCTCTGCTTTCTCCTCCTGGTCAAGTTCTCTTATGGATGGGAGGAGAGAGTTGAGGGGATATGGTCCAGCCTATAGTTTAACTTCTCCAAGATTCAGATTCCCTGTCTGTAAAAGGAGAGGGTTGTACTAAGGCTTCCTTCCTAAAACTCTCTGGTCAGATTTCATTAGAAACGGCATCCTTGGACCAGGGTCTGACACTGGCCTCTGCAGAAGAGTTAGAAGTTGCTTTACACTGAAACCCTAGGTCAAGAGAATCATTCTGGGTCTTTGGTCATCACCATGTGCTTCAGAACTGGCTACTCAAGGTCCCTGGGGACACTGAGCAGTGCTGGCTGCGTGCGACAGGGACTCTGCAGGGGCAAGCATGGCAAATAGCTCTGATGCCACTAAAGTCTGAAAAGTGCTCAAGGTGAACACTGCCTCTGGGGAAGTTGACACCACTGGGCCAGCAGCCTCTCTGGGACACAACCTTTCTCCCTATCTGCTCCTGCCTCCTTTTGGCTCTAAACTCCTCCCCTCCCCAATTCCCTGGCAGGGGAATTCCCCATCATTTTCAGTGGTCTCCTCTTTCCAGCCTCCAGCCCCTTCCTGGGCTAATTCTACCTTCTCAATTTTTCCCTTTCCCCTCTCCAGGGGCACCTAGGGCAAGCTAAGGGAATGAGTCAGCCTAGTGGGGGAGGGGGCTTCAAGTCCATAAATGGGCAAAAACTCAGAGTTTGGGTTTCAGTTTTAGGAAAGGACCAATCTCTGCCCTCTGCCCTCTCCCCAAAGGAATTCCCCTGAGAAGAGAAATTAGTCTGGGGCTGGCTTTGACCGGATGAGATTCTAGAAATAGCAGAGCTTTTTAGGAGGTGGGCTCCTCTGACTCAGCTTCCCTGATAAACAGACCCCGCTGGCCAGGATTTTCCCAGATCCAGAGGCTAAGTCCTAGCTTCCTGGTGGAAGTGCTCAACTATGCGTTTGCAGTTTGGGGCCCAGCCAGTGCCCTTTCGTCCTTACTCCTCCCTCCTCCTCCTCACCCTCTCCCTAGGATCAGAATGTGAGCCTCAGGCTGAATTGACCTGGACTCTGGACTGTAGGGTGCTCAGCTTTCTCAGCAAATCTGACCACATGGGCCCCACCCCGGCTGGGGAAAGGATGCAAAGCTCCCCCACTGGATCCTGCATGGCCCTTCAGGCCTGGCCCTGCTTCTAGGGGTCAGTCTGGGACCCCTA